TCGACAAAAGATTACATAGAAGACGGAGTTGGGTGGAGGCAACAGGAAGTGGGGTGGGGGGTATGGGGAGCGCAGTGGTGGGGGGAGGCCCCCGGCGAGCGGTTTGGGCAGCAGTGCGAGAGCAGCAGAAGTTAAGCATCGGCCGCCGCCCCTACCCTGATTTGCATCTCTGCAAGTAGCCAAAGAAACCTGAGGCCGAGAACTGGACAGTCCTGTGTCTCAGGACGCTGGGTTCTCGGCCTGCTTCTGGAGACAGACGTCCAGCCTGCCCGATTTCCTAAGCGCTTTCCTTTACCTGAGCAGAGCCGTGAGGCAGAGGGGACCGGTGCTTCCCTTCCGACTGTGCCAGGCATCAAGGGGTCTCCTCCTGCTCTCTCGGACTCTTAAAAAGACTCTCCAGCAGCCCCTCAGAGAGCAGAGGTTTTTTCCTCGGCACTTCTACAAGCTTGGGAAAGGTGGAGGAGACTTTTGCCCAAGTTGTATCCTTTGTCTAGGGAAGACAAACTTTGCTTCTGCTGGCCTTCATCTTACTATGCATCCCCTGGGAGTGAAATACCCCAATTCTCGTTCAAGACCCTTGCTGTGATACACAGACTGGGCTGCGGTGCCCTTTGCTTGTGGGCCGGCACCAGGGTCTACGTTGCCTGAGGAGGTCAAAAAATGTGTTGAGCATCTTTGGCCTCTTTGCTCTACCCTTTTCTGGGATCAAGACCCTGGTTCCTTGGCTGTTACCTTTCACAAACACACAGTTGTAGATGCTGGCGTCTTCAAGCGAGAGAAGATGGATAAAGTTGGACTCTTGCCCCTTTGTGAAATTGGCCACCTTGAATTTCTCGAAGGGTGGGATGAGGACTTCTTCCTCGCCTGGGAAGAAGGAGTAATTCTTGATGTTGACCCCATAGCAAGTCTCAATGGTGAAGAAGGTGTCTGTGCCAAACCGCAGAGCGCTCTCATTGCTGCACGACGAAGAGGTGAATTGTCCAAAGCGGACAGGCCTGGAGCGCTCAGAAACGAAGCGGACATTTCTGACCCCACGATACACCTTGTGGCATCGAGGCTGAGCGGTGGTCCCCAGGATGTGAAGGGCTCGCGTCAGGAGAAAGTGGAAGGTCTTGAAGTTGAAGTGGTTGAGATAGTTCTCCCTGGTGCGCCCAGCTTCCCTCACAGCTGCGTTGAAGTCCCTGTGGAAGCGGCCTTGGACCGTGTAGGCCATGAGGGCAATGGCGTGCTCTGGTTTCAGACCGGGAGACCTCAAGGTGGAGGTCTTTCTCTCATTCCACTTGGAGGCCGCCTCTCCCCAGGCCTCAGCATAGACTCTGTTGCTGGCAAACTCGGTGTGGTTCAGCTCCGGCAGCTTTGCTTCCATCGACTCCACACAGCCTTTGTACTGGTCATCAAAAGACGTCAAGGCCATGTTGAGTGGTGCCTCCTTGACTGGGAAGAGGTCTCTTCTTACTTTGAGGGGAAAGGGGAAGGCCTGAAGCAGGAAAAGAACATGAGCAGGGAGAAGGAAGCCAATGGCCCAGATAGAGCTGGTTTGTAAGGATCTTTTGAAAACCTTACTGAATGTTTTTAATCAGCAAAGAGAGAACACGAGAGGTGAGAGCAAACTACCCTTCTCCCACCTGGCACCTTCCTGATCTGGCTGACTGCAATTCCAACATAGCCTGAGAATTCTGGCAGCTGTGGTCCCGCACATCTGGAGTGCAACAGGTTGGAGAAGGCTGATCTCATACCTCCTCTAGATACCAGTCAGCCATATCCAGAGACCTGCCATCTGTAGTTCTCAATGGGGTGCACCTCCCCAGATGGGACTGGCGTGCAATTTGAGGTCTTCCTGGATTCATGGCTCTTGCTAGAAGAGCAAGTAGCAGGAGGACTTTCGCACAGATCCATCTGTCTGTTTCCTGGACCAACAGACCCTGTTTATGATCATTCATGCCCTTGCCACCTCTTGTTGGGATACCATGATGCACTTTACATGCGGCTGCCCTTGGAGACCACTCAGAAGTTCCAGCTGGTCCAGCATGTGGCTGCACAGTTATGGGTGCATCTCAGTAAGCCCGTCTGACACATGTGCTCTGTGAGCTACAGTGGGTTACCAGTGGGTTTCTGTAGTCATCTACAAGGTCACGCGTGGCGCAGGGACTGTTTATTTATGGGACTGTGTATTCCCAATCTAGGAATCAGGCCAGGAGTGTTGGAACAGGTTGGCAGGCTGGCATTTACAATGGGATGCCAAGGGCTGCCATCTTCTGCCCCATGGGTATTCTCTGGATGCAACAGTGAGGTCCTGGTGGCTTCAAGTAACACAGGGAACAGAGATTTTGCAAGCAAGGTGCTTCTCAGCTGTGTGGGCATGAGTGTGTCCAGGGCGTGGGTTAGGCAGACAGGGTAACTGTGAAGGTATATTGAGTGAAGAGTGCAAGGGAGACAGGAGGCTGAGTGTGTTCGCGTGTGTGCCACCACATCACCAGTTGCCCCAAAGGTCTCTCTGTTGGTCACACACCTTTGTCATTAATTTATTTGTTTCTACAGGTACTTCCATGTGACCTGCTAACTGTGGACCAGAGAGGTCTCAATAGCTGTGCTTAGAGGACATGAGTGACAGCATCAAGTCCAATTTGCCCCACTCCCCACCTCAGGAGCAACCTGTTGATTTATACCCCACTTTTCCTTCTGGAGCCTCTTGCCCGAGAACCTGCCTTCAGTTTATCCACAGCACAACAATCTTGCCAGGTAGGTTGGGCTGAGAGAGAGAATGGCTGGCTTGGAGTCCCCCCATGATTGAGAGGGGGCATGAATCTGGGTCTGCCAGTCTTAGGCTCAGACCTTCACTACATTAAAAAAAGGTCCGGACTGAACTTCGGACACTCGTTGTGTTTGTTTGCTTTATTGACTTCTTGCCTGGTGGATTGTTCTTGAGACCCCCAAAATACAAACACTCTTTCAATGGGCCTGATAAAAGCACTGCGTCACTATGGATCTTGGAAGAGTTGGTTTTTGCCACTTCCACTGTCACTTGCCACTACAAGCTTTCCCTTCGTACCTGGCCGTTTCCCGTAAGCATCCCCATCAAACACAGCGCCAGAGACGTTGGGAAGGACGGATGTTTCATGGCTCACTCCTTTCGAAGCAAACCACAGAGACTGCAGTTCCCGTTGTTCCTGCCTGCACCGCCAAAATGTGACACAGAAAAGAGATTTGGGGGCTTATAGATCTCCTTCAGGGTGCCCCCTGCCTCCCCATCCCCATCCCCCCGCAGATGCTCCTGAGCTGCAGGGATTCTGCACCCGTTAAACTGATCAGCGCTAGAAGAAAAGCAGAAACCAAAGTTCACCGTCCGTGCAAACCCAAACAAGGAAGGCTGCGATAGCTCAGGGGGAGTTGTTCTACTGACATTAGGGCTTAAATGCAGGTGAGCCATCGATCTTTGACGGATGCTGGCCAGACTGCCTCGAGGGCCCCCAGTGCTCATCCCCTTTGCTCTTTGGGCATTCAAGCGCACCTCGTTGAATTTTCTCTAAGCAGGCGTGCAAAACACGGCCAGCACTCAAGAAAATGGCTCACCACCCGGCCACTGGGCGACTCTCCCAACACCCAGCCGCGACGACCTTAATATTCCCTCCCCGGCTCCTGCTTAGATGCATTTGGGGAAGGCGGAAGGCCTCGCCGCCTGAGCAGAAGAATTAAGGATTGCAAGTGTTGTCCAAGCTGGGATTAAGGGAGGGGCCACATTTACCTTGCTGCTTCTAGCCGGGGAAGCACTTGGGCTACGCTGCTAAGCCCACTTTCCTTCTTCCAGCCGCTTGCTGACTTCCTCAGTGGCCCTTCTCAGCTGTGGGACACCATCACTGTGACAGGTGGACAGCGAGACGGTGCTTTTTATAGACCCCACTGGCACCTCTCACTTGCCCCCAGGTTATTTATACCCGGCAGTGTTGTGCGCAAGGCCCTCTGGAATGACACCGTGTTTCAGAACAAGGGAAGGGCGAGCAGGAGTCTCTCCCGAGGTACGGTGCGGCGTCACCTTCCGCTCATCACGCAAGAGCAGCAGGCCCAGGCCTGGCCTGCTCCAAACAGACACCGGGGACGATGGGAGCTTAATCCAACACATCTGAAGGGTACAAATGGAAGGGCCCAATATTATGGTTGGATGGACTCCCCCAACATCTGGCGCATTTCCCATAGCATTTTATTGTCATCCAGAAGTGGCTTTCTAAGCAAGAGCCCACTGAATGGAGGCTCTGCCAGGGACCTTGAAGGTCATTCAGTTCACCCTTTTGCTCAGGGATTGCCAGGAGCACCCCCAACTGGTGGCCATCCAGCTCCTTTGGAAGCCCCCAGTGAAGGAGAGTCCGCCACCGTTTTAAGGGGCTTTTGCACAGACCATCAAGAAAGTCCTTCTTGCTCGCAGCCTGGATCTTCTCTCTTTTCACTTCAACCAACTCGTCCTTGCCCTGCCCTTGGTTCTGCCAGGGAACAGCCCTGCCCTCACCTGCACGGGGCAGCCTTTTAGAGGTTGGCAGACTGCTATCGGATCTCCCCTTCAGTTCCCCCTTTTGAAGGAAACAGGCCCCACGTGTTGAATCGTTGTTCGTTGTTCGTAGGGCTTGGTTTCCACACCTCTGATCATCCTGGAAACTCCCCTCTGCTCGTGCCTCTTTTGAAGTGTGGGGCCCAGACTTAAATGGAGAATCTAGCCCAAAGCCGCCGACTGACTTTGATATCCAGCAGCAAACCTGATGCTGTGGAAGATGGGCCACACCAATGCTGGTGATGGCCCGCTCACTAGGCCCCAGTAACTCATTTTCTTTAGGAGTTGACTTGTCCTGGTGGTCTTTCGCTCTATCCCCCTTCCCCACTGGAAGCTATTGAGAGGATGAAGCTCTGACCACGTTGACTGGTCTGGCAGGACTCTGTGCCGGTTTTAAGCTTTTACGCTCATTCCTGTGGCTCTCAGTACCACAAAATGCCATAAAGCAGGGTGGCCCTTTTCACGTCTAGGGAAGCTGCAGAGCTGCAGGGCGATACTGCATCTCACCTCCTGGACGGATGATTTATGTAGGAAAAAGATGGGAAAGTTGCGGGGAATTGCAGAAGGGTGGGTGGATTAAATGGAACAGTGAGTGACCTTCCTGCTAAAATTCCAGGCAGGAAGAAAGGAACTGAATTGCATCGCTAAAGCCTCATCCTGAAGCTTGAAAGATGTCACGAACGGGATCTCCCACACAGTTTGTATCTGGTCCAAAGTCTGTGTCTTGTCGCGTCCTTATCACTTCCAGCGTATTCACGAAAAACCCGCACACCATCCGTATTGCCAAGAAAAGGTTTGTTCGATTTAGTGGAGGCTAACTTACGTGCTTACTGTAATTAAATGGCTTTGGGAAGCCCGACGCACACAGGACAAAAAGGTGCCGAGTTTTGCTTGGAACGGAGGCTCCTCTGGATGCCTGGAAGGACCCCGGCCTCAGTGAGGTCTAGGAATGATTTCTGCCACTTAACCCGCAGCTGCCTGCAGACCACTCTCGTGGGTTCTCCCTCGGCTGCTCCTTGGCAGAAGGAGACCTGCCAAAAGGAGGGCTGGAGAAAGGCAGAAGCGTCGCCCGAGGCCACGTTTGCAGCCGGCCAGGTGGCTGAAGAGAAGCCCCCAGTTCCCCTGCCTCGCCTTCCATCGCTGCCTCAGGCTCATGCTCAGGAATCCCTTGCTCAGCCTCCTCCTCGCCCCCACCTCAACCTCTGCAGGAGAGTCAAAAAAGTCAAGATGGCACCCATCACAATATGATTAAAGCCCTGCCCCCTCTTCACACACATCACATGCACGAAGTGTGTAAAAAAAGGGGGCAAGTTTCAACTATATTGTGGTGGACGCCATCTTGACTTTTTTGACACCCCCCAGCCCCTGGTATGCCCCATCCCGTTTACTTCCTATGGAGTTCTTGCTGCTCTCTCTGAGCTGGGCAGTTTCCTTGCAGACGTTTCATGGCCCAGCTGGGGACCAGCATCAGTGCTGGTGAGTGTGGGGTTTGCCCCCTTGTTTTTATGCAGTCGCTTGCCCTGCCGGTGTCGGTGGGTTTCTCCTGGGTAGTTCCTTCACTGGAGCATTGTTTTCTGTGTTTCAAGGACTGCAGTTCAACCCTGAGCCAGATACATTCTCTTCTACTTGCACTGTTTTCCTCCTGACTCTTTGTCTGGTGTTGATCCCCGCTTATCTGAATGTTGGCTGCTGGAGGGTTGTGGTCTGTTTCTCTCCTTCCCAGTTTTTTATTGCCTCTTTTGAATGGTGTGTAAATGTGGCTTATCTCTGCTGTCTACTGAGGGCTGATTTATCTGAACGCCTCCAGGGATTCTCTAGCATTTTTGCACTGGGCTCGATCTAAACTACTAACAGTTTCCCAGCCAAAGCTTACATCCGTTGCACTCTTTCTCCATTAAACTGCAAGTGCCCCCTATCTTCCCACATGCATGTGTGTGTGTGTGTGTGTGTGTGTGCAAAGGTGTCAATGGAAACCCTTCGTTTTTAATCCTGCCCCCCAACACATAAACAGCAGACTTTATTGCACTGTGTAGAAGAATAAAACAGGCACCAAAGTAGGTAAACATTTGGTAACTATGCCCAGTGGGGAGCTGTTGTTCATTTATTTGCTGGAGATATTTTAAAACCGTCCTTCATCCTCCTTACGGAAGCAAGAATAATTGTGCCGGAACGAACCGCAATTATGCAGCTTGTTTTTCTAGGTGCAACTTGAGCAATAGCACAACTAAGGGAGGAACTGCCTACCCTGCCTACCCCGAGCATCCCTGCGCTGCTGAAGAGAACGTCCATCCCATTTTGCCCCAGGACACTCTGGGAAGGGGACCGGATTCTCCCCCAACGGATGGCCGCTTAGCGAAGCACGTGGCCTCGCCTCTACGGCGGTCGGAGAGTCATTTGCCGGACGTCGGCGCTACGGAAGCGCTCTCCCACAAGTGGGAACGGGCTGAATGGCGGATCAGGGTTCTGGCGCTTCCCCTGCCTCGCCTTCCATCGCCTCCTGAGGCTCGTGCTCGGGGATCCCTTGCTCAGCCTCCTCCTCGCCCCCCGCCTCGCCCTCCTTCTCTTCCTGAAAGCAGGGCAGCCGGCCCTCCCCTACGATGGGCACGTCCTGGTGCACCATCACCTCCACGGGGGATCCCTGGCCGGAGTTCTCCGGTTCAGGCTCGTAGCTCTGGAAGCTGTTCCGCACCTTCATGATGTACTTGCGCAGCACACTGGCCCCGTCCATGGGGTTGGCTGCTGCCCCACTGGCTGCCACCGAGTGGCGAAGCTGCTTCATCTCTGTGTGAAGACGCAACACAGACTTGTTCAACTCGGTCAGGCGGTTCCCCAGATCTGTGGGCAAGAAGAGGAAGAGTCCTGATGCAGCCCCCTGGCTAAACCCCCATCAGTGAGGCCAGAAACGTATAAACGGTGGGCCACCTATGGCCCACCCGGACCTTGGAAATGTCCCACTGGCCACCCGCAGAGCAAGGCCAGGCTGTTCCTCTGCAAAGGACCTTTTGGTTTGAGGCAGGGGAGAAGGGAACGCTTCCCCCCGTCTTGGGGACCATCAAGAAAGGAAGATCCAATCTTGGGCACTCAGTCTCTGGTGCAACCATATTTGGGGCACTGCAACCGTCCCTGGGCCGGGGGGGTGAAGGAGGGCGACGGAGGCTGCAAACTGCAGGCCTGAGCGAGAGCAGAGCAGCGGACCCTCCGGGAGAGGTGGGGAGCATCCTGTCCCGGGTAGAGAAGGTGAGCCAGAAGGCTGTAGGCTGGGCAGGTGAGTGTCCAGGGAGTCCTCCCCTGCCCCCACATCTGCTATACAACACATCGGTGGCTCTTGCACAATGCAGGCAGCACGTGGTTCCTTATCGGTGGCCGCTTTGCGGGGAGGCTGCTTGCCCTCGGGCGCGTGCTTGCCCCCAAGGAGAACCCCCAATGCATCTGAGAGTCACACAGGATGCGACTCAGCAGGGGGGACCTACCGGGCTGTCAGGATGCACCCGGAAGATCTGAAACTCGGTGGGGGGCAGCAGCGCGCAGACCCTGCTGCCAGACACCACCTGCCTCCTGGTGGGCTCCCCAAAGGCCCCTCACCTTTCCTCCGGCTCTCCTCAAACTCCCGCCTGGCCGTATCGATGTAGCGCTGCACCAGCGCCTTGAGCACCTGGCGCCGATAGGAGAGGCGGCCTTCGGCCCGTGTCCCCACCTCTTCCACCGACGGATTGCTCTGGAAGGCAAAAGAGCAGCTCATGCCTTCAAGCTTTTTTTTTTTTGTTTAAACACAGGAAGCCGGCTAGAAATATAGGAATGTGCACCGAATTCCACAGAATTTCTGCAAAACGATCCCAGCCCAGATTGAGGGGGTTATATGTCTCCTTGTCCTCTTCCCCACCTTCTAAGCTCTCCCACTGTTCACACTCATGCACGCACACACAACACGTGCAGGTTGCCGCTTAGGCTGCAGCTGCAGTCAAAGCCCCAGGTGCTGATGAGGTCCCTACTGAAAACCTTGAAGGGGAACTTACAATGGTGGAAACTGGGGGGTATTTCTGATGCTTCTTCGATTTGTAACAGCACATGAAGCGAAAGACGCCCCTAAAGATGTACGGGGTCAAGAGAGGAGAGTTAGCCGGGAAGCTCCTAAGGGAGGCCAAGAAGACGGATTCACTGCAAACTTGGGGTGGGCCAAACTCCAGGACATTTGGCCGCAAGATGGACGCTGTCACTACACCTGTCCGTGATGCCACAAGACCAAAGGCCGCCAAAGGTTCTGTGACGGTTAATCAGCTGGGCTTTAAGGGGAACCCCAAGACTCCCTAAGTCACCTTGACTTGGCTGTGCTAGGATAGAGCGTGCAAGTTGAGCCCCGTGGCTAGCCGCCAGTGGGATCTCTGCCCTCCAGGGAGATGTGGGGCGTGCGGCAAGGGAACTGGCGCATATGGGGGGGTCGTTGTGGCCTACATCTTCCACGTTCCCCATACCTGATGACGTAGAAGATGGACTTGGGCGTGGGGATAATGTTGAAGGGGACTGGCAGAGTTAGACCTTCCCTGAAGAACGACAGGTAGAGTTTTGAGCGTGCGAACTTCCACTCCACATCAGCGTCGTTCTGTGGAAAGCGTGTGAAGGGAGGCTCCGATAAGTAACGGAGCAACAAAGATGGCGGAGGACTTTGAGAACCGGCGAATGTGTTAATTTCCGTTTCACACGGGTTTTCAATTTCTCAAATTCATTAAGTTCAGTTTGTTGTACTGAGACTTTTTTTTTTTTTTTAATAAAACACCTGCAATGAAAATTGTGCCCATTTTGTGCACAATCCTCCAAACACACGTATTGGACTGCAGTTCTAGATAATTTGGCAAACAGGTTTCTCTGATACAATGCAAGTTTGTACCTTATTTTCATCATTTGCATTTTTATGCAGACTTTTCCCTAATTCAAAAAAACACTGAGACGTGAGTTGGAGGAACTTCTCCCCCGTCTCCACAGAGAGCCTGAAAGGATGGGGCAGGCACCGCTGGGCCACAGGCGAGTCCTTGGACGTCTGAACCAGCTCATGGTCCTTGCATGCATCCCCCCTCAACTGGGCAGTCCGAGCTATGTTGGGCGAGCCTCACTTGCCCTGCGGGAGCTTTGACTCCCACACGCCTGAAGAAGACAAGCGTGAACGTTGTCTCTAGATGGCCTCTGCAGCATATGCAGCTTCCTGGGTTCCCATCAGCAAACACCAACTCCACTCAGCATCCCTGAGGAACACTTGCCTCAATCTTCTGGAAAGAGTTGGTGATCATGGCAATGAGCATGTTGAGAAGGACGACCACCATGACAATGGTGAAGACGCCATAGAGCACTCGGCCCACCAACTCAGCCACGTAGAACTGGGGCATGTCAACCACGTCGTGTTCCTCCATCCCAAGCATCGTCCAGAAGAGGAACTGGAAGGTCTCGTTGAAGCTACGTAAGAATGATCAGGTAGAACCAGTGCTCAGTTCAGAATTGTGGGGGGCCTTCTCCCCACAAATCCATCTGAGTAACCAGCAGGGCTGCCCAGGGCCCCAGGCTATGGGGACCTTCCTCCTAAGGGCAAAAGCCACTGAATCACCATCTGGGCTCTGCTCCCACATCAGCCAAGAGCACATCTAGGAAATTGTCTTCCGAGCCCAGGTAAAGGGCACCTCCAGCGTGCCAGAGGGCTGGCTGAGGTGTTCTGTATGGACCAGGAAACCCAGGTTTAAATCCCACTGAATGAGGTTTGGGAGTGGTCCTAGGCCAACCCCTTCCTCTTTTGGCTTCACCTAACCATTCTTCTGAGGTGAACCAGAGAGGGGAAAAAGCAGCAGACCCCTTTCTTTTTGGGCTTGCTGAAGAAGGAGGGCAGGTTGAAATCTCAAAAACATTCCTAGGTGTGAGTGTATCTCAGAGTCTCTGATTTTAATGCAGGAGGAACCGGGTTGGAAACTTCCAAAGTGGTGAACAATCCGACGAAGAATGAAGGGCCTGCTCCCACTCATTCATTCCACTGAACTTCTTCCTCTTTCGGGGAGATTCAGTGCCCACCCACCCCCAGTCTGCTCGGCTTCAGCATGGCAGCTAAACCTGCCTTTCCAACAGAGTCGTGGTCTCACCCCCCAGACACACCCGTTGCCATACCTGCCCAGACGCTCAGATTCCTGATAATGGACATAGATGTTGTTCATGCCACACAGGAAAGCTGTCAGGATGATCATCATGATGAACATGAACCTGAGGGGGAGCCAAGGAAAGATTGTACCTAAAGATGCCTTCTTCTTCCCAAAACAAGGCAGAGACTGCTGTTCCCTTCCTTTGAGAAAGCGCCTTCCTGGGTCTCTCACCACCTTGCCCGAGCTGCTCCATCCCTGCTAAGCAGCCTTCGCCAAGCTGGGGGGCACCGCTCAAGAGGTTCATACGCCCTCCTCAGGCTATAGCAAGGGTACGCGCAAAGAGCTTAGGGTCCAGCTGGCTGGGACCCCGAGTCGGAGGAAGGTCTCCTGGTGCCCGTACCGAATCATGTCATCAATCATCTTTCCAATGGAAATCTGGAGTGTCCCCAAGGTTTCGTGGGCGGGCAGGATGTATGCCAGGCGGGTGAAGCTCAGCATGCTCGTGACAGCAAAGAGCACCTCGGCCATGAACTGGGGGTCTTCAGTGCGCCATTCCAGCCGCTCTGCATCAGAAAAGGGCAGAAAAAAGGAGGGAGGGAGGCTAGACATAGGATGTCCACAGGGACATACTTGCCCACTGGACGCAGGCTGGCTCTGAATTATTTTATTTTATTTATTTATTAAATTTATATGCCCCCCATCTCGCTCGGCTATCTTGAGATGGACCTGCCCAGATATTAAGGTCAGCAGGAAAAGCCCCCTCAAAGATGGGCTGTCTTTCCCTTTGCGAGGCACACAGGAGACAGCCTTCCCGCCCTTTGTGTTCTCCCCAAGCTACACAACGCATCCCGCTATCCCGGGGCGCAATTTAAGGTCCTGGCTTTGACGGGCTTGCAGCTGGGGAAGGACCTCCTTCAAGAGCAGCACTTGGCCGCGGCTCTTTCTGCTTTCAGAAGAAGACGCCTTCTCTTCCTCTTCGGCTTTTTCTGTTTGAGCAAGTTTGGTAGCTGCTTTATCTGCTTTGGCAGGAAGTTCAGTGTCCCTCTTTGATTTTGGGGGGTTTACCACTCGGGCTTCCGCTGGGCAGAAAGGCGGGCTAAAAATTCTACAGGTAAATAAGTGACCCAGCACACAAACGACTCCCGCCCGCCAACAGGCTCACTGGCTTGGGTGTAATAGTAGCACTCCGGCGAAGAGGACTGGCCGTCCAGGCAGAAGACGCGGCCTTTGAGGTAGACCAGGAGCCTGAGCACAAAGGAAGCCAAGTACATGCTGAGGATGACAATGTCCAGGAAGTTCCACCAGTCGAGGAGGTAGCTGCGGAGCCCTTCGATCCAAACCTCCTTGCACTCAAACCAGAAGAAGCCTGCAGGGACAAACGCGGTGACAGGAACCCTCCAGAGGGCTGCGGGGTCAAGGCCAACAAGGGAAGCAGGCAGCTGGACTCCCTGCCAGGTCTCCTCCTCCCCCGTTTTTCCTACTCAAGCAAACCCAAAGCCACTTTTGCCCTCTTCTCTGCCCTTTCAGTTACGCTGGGACTGAAAAAAGAGACCGGCTTCCACCCGCCCAAGATCTCCCACGTTCCAGCTCCGATCTCCCACAGAGCTCAGCAGTCTTCCAAATGGCCCCCCCATCTGCCCCCTTCCCTCCCCATTAATTGCTCTTCTCGTCCTGTCCTGACTGCAAACCTGTCTTGTCTATCTAATGCCCAGGCGGACATTAGAACACCTCTGAACCTCAAAACTGGCACCTGATGAAACCTGCTTTGTGAAACACATCTGTTTCCTCCTCCTCCTCCTCCTCCCCCCCCCGGCGATGATGCCAATAATGAGAGTAAAGAGTGTGATGGAGGGAGGGAAAGAGATGGGGAAGTGCTGCCAGACCAGGCTGCCCAGCCACCGTTGCTCCGTGCAGTGCAGGAATTTGAGGGGAATCCAGACCATCCTCCACTTCAAGCCTCCCGTTTTCCTAAGGAGAATCATTAAAGCGGCCAGGGAGAAAAGGTGCCCGGGTGGTGGTTATAGCAGGACTTCTCTTTCAGGAAGCAGCCTGGGTGTGCAGAAGCAGCAGACACCTCTTTCTTCCCTCTCCTCACCCTGCATTGGGGCACTGCTCGGCCACCTACCTGCCACCCAGATCATGTGAAGGGATGTCTCCCACATGCTCTGATTGCGCCCCATAAAGGACTCGTGATGGCCCTCCAGGATTAGAGACTCCACCAGTAGGAAGACCAAGAACCAGACGTAGGAGGCTGAATGCAGGAGGAATTTTATCACAGGAATCTTCAGCATTTTGCCAATCTGCCATCAGGGAGGGAGGCAACCAGAAGGTGGGTTACACCATGTTTTCAAAAGCCGGGGGGCAGGGGGATGCATCATTTAGCTTGCTCCCGGTCCCTCAAACTCCTAACCTTTCAAGGCAACCATTAGCCCAGCCTTCTCCAGCTGATGCCCAAGGAGAGCTAGGACTGCAGATCCCAGCGTTCCTGGCCAAAATGCATGCAGCTGGAGTCTGGTGGGAAAGAAGTGAAAAGAGATCCTGGCACACCAATTTGGGAACCAAATGCTAGGCTGCAGCAGGGTGGACATGGAAACCCAAACACTCTAAATTTAGTGTTATTTTAGGAATGGGCTAAAGCAGTGTTTCTCAACCTTGGCCACTTTAAGATATGTGGACTTCAACTCCTAGTCACCTGCCAGGCACCTCGCACTCAAGCTGTTCAGAGAAGCCGCACATACAATCCCC